TTTTCAATTTAGATCTCTAATTTAAATTTAATTAGAGATCAAATAAAATTTTTACGTCTAACTTTGTTTTCCAGCTGTATTTTGAAGATGAGGAGAAGGAGACTCTCTATCAAGTTGATCCAGAAATGTCACTTTTAAAAACATTGCAACATAAGAGGTAATTTTTACATTTTGTTTCTTGGTTTGTTGGTATGATTGTCGGTTGTTATTACAGAGAGTTATTGAACATTTGAGCCAACAGTTTCAAGGAGTATTTTTTATTTTTTTGGGGTATTTCTGATGTAAATGTAAGTTTTTACGTTTCCTAATAATCAATTTAAGCAATCTGTATTGTATTCTTTTTTAGTGAATATAAAGTTATAAAAATTCTTTTCGTGCTTTCCCTTGTTAGAAATTGAACTTTTTTGCCCTTTGTAAGGAGTGCAAGTCACAGATTGCATGCTAACTATTTTTTACGGCCGGTAAATATGTTTGAGTTTTGTGGTGAAGAACCTTCAAAAATAAAATGGAAACTACGTGTAATGCATAGAAGCCGGCTAGTTTGTTTTGAGAGGAAATCATTTCTTGCATCTTGCATTAATTCTTAAATTTGTTTTTTTTATAGGTTTTTTGTGAAGGCAGGCACCCCAAACTTCATGGTTTTAGTAAAAAACTCACCTTTCTGCAAGCAGTTTTTGTCTGGAAAGAAAATCCATGGATTGTAGACACGGATACATGATACGAAAAAGTAGAGGACTGACCTGAGCACTTTTGTTGTGAAGACTACAATTAAAAGACAGCTGCCTGTTCGGCCTTGTTAATGAAAACGTCGTTACTGTCAACATGCTTGGTAGTTGATATTTACAGGTTATTATGATTGTGATGTCTTCTTTTTATTTTTTTCAAACATGGCTCTCTACATCATGGCCAAACATCTCTATTTTAATTCCATCTATGAATCATGTGGTTCATTCAAATGTAACTTTGTAAAAACGAGTGTTGATTTTCCATATTTTCGAGAAATAAATACTGCATGCCCTTCTGATGACACCTGCATAGCTTTAATATGTAATAAGACAATTCTTAAATAATACAAATAAAATGGCAAGTCCACAATAAGAAAGTTCATGCTTCTTTAGTAGCCTAGTTTAGTTCATTTGCATATTTGGATGTCATGTCTGCTTGATTAATGCTCCATAGATTTCCTTATTTGAGGCACAAATCTAGAAATCACAAGAAAAAACAAATATGCCACTGTGTAACAAAGTTGCATCATCTGAAGTTTTATATTTTCATTATTATTAAAGGAGATCTAGGAGATGCTAATTACAACAGTAATTAGCCTCATAACTCAGTAAATTGTATAAAACAGCATTACAGAATCAATTACAGACAAACAATCAGGTCCAGTCACACAATTTTTATTTCTTTTTTTTATTATTGATGTGTTTAGATATGCTTTTTTTCCCATAACATTTCCCAATACAAATTAATGATGTCGTTATACAATGTTTTTAATCATGTAAATATGCATATGAACTCAAACTTTTATGAAGTGTTGATGGTCAAATACATTTTTGTATAGAGTAAAGAATATATTATACACTAAACTGATCATGGCTGATCTGAGAATCATTACATTATTTACAAGTTTGCTCAGATGTTGTTAGGAATTACAAGCATTGGGTTCTGTAACAGAGTTCTGAGACTCAGTAGGACATTGAGTAGAGTTTTGATACCCAACAGGACTTTGACAAAGGTTTTGATTCTCAGCAGAACTTTGATGATGAGTTTCAAACCCAACAGTATTTTGAGGAAGGTTTTGAAACCCACCAGGATATTCAGGAGGGTTTATATACCCAGTAGGATTCTGAGGAGGGTTTTGATTACCACCAAAATATTGAGGAGGGTTTTGATTACCATCAAGATTTTTTTTTTCTTCCCCTCCCGAGAGCTTTTTTCAAGTTCTAGTGTCCCTTGTATAACAGTAGGCTGACAGTAGGGTAAGGAGAGGGGGAAGACATGCGGCAAATATAGTTGGGTCCGGGATTCAAACACGCGATGGCCGCATCAAGGACTCATGGCCTCCAAATTTGAGGAGGGTTTTAAAACCCATTATTAAAACCAGGATACTGAGGAGGGTTCTGAAACCAAGGAGGGCTTTGATGAGAGTTGCGAAACATAAACGAGTTTTGAAAACCAGCAGGAGGTGGAGAAGACATTTGATTCGCCGTCATGACAGGATTAGCCTGCACATTGATCACAGTTTGAGGCTGTTGCACTGCCTGCCAGTGACAGGAGTTTGGACCTTTTCACAGCATGTGCACCTGAAAGCACATATGTCATAACAGAAGGAAGCCTGAAAGAAAACACATTGAAACTTTTTATAAAATTGCATTTTCATTTCAAAATAAGTTCAGGTGAGTGTAACTTTGTCATACCATTATTCCGTGATTGTTAGGAATGGATGCTTTCTTAGATTATATAGCAGAGGGAATAAACAGAGGAGTCCCACAGGCGGCAGGATGTTACATAAAGGCAGACAGTTGCTCTCTTTAAATGATGTTAAAACGGTGTAGAAACCACAAACATACAGCATGGGAGGCTTATTGTTTGAAATTTAAATATTAAAAAAAATGTCTTGAACATGTTAATCAGTCAATCAATCAATTGTATTTATAAAGCACCTTCATACTAAAAGCAGCTCAGTGTTGTACAGAAGCAACAGACAGTCAATATACAACAACATCACAAAGTAAAATGACTTAAGAAGCCAAAACACTTGTTTTGTTGCTTTTCAATCATGATCTTATCAGATCTTGCTGCAGGGCGTTGCCCTTCTAATTGTGCTTGGTTTGTTTTGGGGTTTTTTTTATTGAACATTTAAATATTGGCCCAAGTCAAAGTGATGTGAAATTAAAACTATTTTCATCGGTTTTAGAGAAGATTTAAACAAAGAAAAAGCAAAGGGAGTTTCCCTTAATGATTAGTTACCTTCAGAAATCAGTGATTTTCATTCAAACAGCAGTTTATTGTCACAGTGATGAGTTTTCTGTTCTTATCTAAACCCTCCACCAGTAAGGTGAAAACATAATGAGCCTCACATGAATGTGGCTACAACTGGAAGAGGCAGACTAAATACCTTTTAGATTTTACAAAGAAGCAGAAGCTTTTTTCTCAAATCCCACTAACACTCCCCAAGTAGAATAATTGTAATCATATTAAATAAACTTTCACTTTAATTTACTGTGTATTATTTTCTCTCCATGTCACTACTTATCTTCTTTCAAATTAAATGTCAAGAGATGATAATTGAGACATAATGCTTCTTGAATACATTTTTAAAACTATTCAAAGAATTACTTTATCTAATGATAACCACTGAGTTTTTACTGACCTTCTGACAGCGTGATACAAAATAAAAGTAAATAATTGAATAATTTGAAATGCAAGTTCTAACAGTAAAATTAGGAAAATCTACAGTTATTCATCTTTATAGTCTAGAAAATGTAACAGTATTTACCTGCATTCATATGAAAATGTCTGTACAAAACACTAACTGCACATAAGTAAAACTTTTTACCTGTTTTTGTGGGAGATCTTTGTTGCGCTTCCGTAGTTAACAGCAAATGCGTGTACTACAGTAAGATTTGCTTTTCCTGGGCGGACACAAAATATGCTGCAAAACCTGTGAGCCATCAGTCCTGGCAGCCAGTTTGGATGCCAGCCGTCTGCTTTCTAATCTGAATAATCTGGATCAACATGGTAAATGATTTTACTTTGATGTTGCTGGTGCATTTTGCTATCCATGTGTCTCTTAAAGCAGCCAGAGTTTTGCTGTTGTGTATTGAGTCATCCGATGTGCATTTGATTTATTATTATTATTTTAGGAAGTTTATATGGCTATTAGTTTACATCTTTTGAATGCATTACCTAAAACCAGAAGTTTGCAATTTAAAAAAAATAAATAAATGAAATGGCAGAATGTAATAATGTTAATTGTACAGTGAAATAAGAAGCTGATCTGTGTCTTTATTATTATGTTTGGGCGAGCAATTAATATTTGTAAGGCAAAATTAAATATCTGAGTTTATTAGGGCCCATCAGAAATCAGAATATTAATGATGCAACATTTCCCTCGTATTTTAATTTCATTCTTTTATTCTGTGTTACATAAAACAAAACATGCTGTCCATCCTCTTTATTAAGTTTTTATTTGTCCTAACGATCCTTGTTAGTAATCCAGTTTGTCAAAATTAGTTGAGATTATTGTGGCATTCACTCCAGCTTCCTCCCTCAGTCCAAAAACATGACGGTTAGGTTAATGGGTCTCTCTAAATTCTCCCTAGGTGTGGATGTGTGTGTGTGCATGGTTGTTTGTCCTGTCTGTTTCTGTGTTGCCCAGGGTGTACCCTGCCTTTTGTCCGGAACGTAGCTGGACGAAAGGCGGACATCTCCCGACCCCGTTAGGGACAAGGGTGAACAGAAAATGGATGGATGCCTATTGTTGCATTCAGCATATTTCTGGACATGGCATGAGCACACTGAATACTGCTGAGCCTCTATCTCTGAATGTCTGAGTCGATGAGATTTAAAGGTCATCTTTACAGAAACTTTTTGTCACATTTTAGAATTTTATATTTTTATTAATCACTTGTTTTTTCAATAACTTGTTTTCAAATATTGTAAGTAGATGTACCTGTACATAAACAAAGACATTCGGTGTAACTTATATAAAAATTGTAATTAGTTTGGTCATTTTTAGTGAGTTATATAAGACATCATTAATTAGAGTTCAAACAAGGTCGAGTCACTCAGTTTTTATTTATGTTTTTGTTATTGATGTGTATAAATCAATATGTATGACAACATTTTCCATTTAAAAGTCATGAAGTAGTCTTGTTTATAATAAAGTAAATACACATATGAACTCAAACAACTAAAAATCAACACTTTTTTTGGAAGTATTGGCAGTTAATTGATATTTTGGATAGAATAAAGAATCCCATTTTACACCAACATGATCATGAATGATCAGAGAAACTTACATTTTTCACAAGTTTGTTCAGATGTTGTTAGGAGTTATAAGCATTAGAACTTTTAACAGGGTTTTTGGACTGTGGATCATTGTGGAGGGTTTTGATACACAACAGGACTTTGAGGGGGATTTTAATAACAACCAGGTTTCGGAGGAGGGCTCTGAAACCAAGGAGGGCTGTGAGGACTGTTTTGAAACATATTCTGGTTTTGAGCAGGGTTCTGAAAACCAACAGGAGGTGGAGAAGTGTTTTGATTAACCATCATGACAGGATTAGCCTGCACGTTGACCACAGTAGTGTGCTGTTGTGGGGGCTGCTGCACCACAGTGACAGGAGCTCCATTCTTTAGCTCACGATGCATCTGACACCAGGAGCACCAGACACAGAAACAGGAAATTGCCATGTCTTTACAGAGGGAACCCTGAAAGCAAACACATTGAAAGTTTTCATGAAGTGATGTACTACTTCAAAATGAGTCCAGATGATTGTAAAATATGTCATACCTTTATATGATATTTGTTCCGAATGGAAGCCCTCAGAGAGATTGCCGCAGGGGGACAATTAAAGGAATCCCACAGGCTACACATGCAGCAGGAGTCAGAATGTCACATAAAGGCAGACAGGAGTTCTCTTTAAACATTCCTGAAACGGTGCAGGCAAGGCAAGGCCAGCACCAGAAGCCATAGCAACCTGAAAAACACAGAGGCAGACAGATACAGAGCAGTGAAAGGGTCTTACGTAATTATAAGGTATATTGTTTTAAATTTAAGAAAAAAAAAAAGAAAAAGAAATGATTCTTACAAGTGCTGCAATCTACACAGCAGTCAAAGAGACCAGTCTTCCACTCTCTGAGGGCAGGTTCTGCCATCCTATCTTGAAGTTCAGCCACAAACTCAACTACGACCCTGTGTGATCAGAAAATAAATGAGTCAGTTTTTGGCAAAACGACACACTGTAATATAATGAACTAAAAAGCATGGGCATTTTTGGAAACAGATGGATAGGTAGAAGTAAGCCAGGTTGATATATGGAAACCCACTGTGTCACTAAAACTGTAATACATTATTTTACTTATTGTTTCAGTCTGGCAAACTGCTGGTACAGATATTGTGATCAAATCTGTGCCTCACAATTCATAATGCATGTCAGCTTGAAAGATCTATGAAGAATTTAAGTTGCAATTTCTTAATACCTATCAGTTATAACTCTTGTAATTATATGTCTGTGTTTTGCACATATCACTAACAAGTCTAGACTTCCCTTACTGAATGTTTTCATCAATTATTTAGAAAAATTTCAAGTGCGCCAGGAACAAAGGCAATTAAAAAAAAATAGACTTATTGAAAGTGAAATTTGACTCCTTCATGAGTGACTGCTCATTCTTTTTGCCCTTATTTTAATTAATCACAGCTAAATTTAGAACAAGATGGCTCAACAGGTTTGCTGAACATACACTCAGCAAACAGGAATCCAAAACTTACAGAGGACTGTTTACGAAATGAGCTGCTTCCTGATTTTTTGCATACCTAAAAACCAATTTGCCGACTAGTAAAACGTGACTAGTAAACCTGAGGAGTAACAATCAGTGGTGGAGAAAATACTCAGAAACTAAAGTAAAAGTTTATACACACAGACAAAAATACACTAAAAGTAAAAAGCACCACATTAACATTTCCACTTCAGTAAAAGTAAAAAAATATAATTCGCTGCTGCAGGCATTGTCCATCTAATTGTTTTTTCACTAACTTCTTTTTAAAAACATAATGCTTTCTGAATATTTTTTAAGCTATCTACAAAAGTGATTTTATCTTACCTCTGATCTCTATCATTATTATCATTATTATTACCTTTATTATTATTATTATTAATATGTGATGAAAATTTGACTTTTTATTGACAGACCTCACAGACACAGTGACTTAAAAGAAAAGTAAATTCTTGAACAATTTGAAAGACAAGTTATAAATCTAAAACAATTCAATTAGAAAAACTTTTTTTTTCTAATTGAATTTTAGTTTTTTTGTCTTCTGTTTCAAGTAAATGTAAATTTGTTTAGATGTATTTAGTTAGGAATGTATGTATAAAGCTTTGACTAAACTGTACATAAGTAAAACTTTTTACCTGCTTTGTGAGAGATCTTCCTTGCACCTCCGTAGATGTCAGCAAGTGTGTGGATGACTGTAAGTTTTGTTTTACCTGGGTGCTCACAAAAATGCTGCAAAACCTGTGATGCATCAATCATATCAGCTGTAAAAATACTGCTTCTTCCTCTTGAGCCTGACTGAATCTTCACAATCAGCATCTTAACTGATTTCACTTTGATGCTGCTGCTGTTCATCAGCATCAAATTGCTGTTGCATTTTGTTATCTTTGTGTCGATGAAGCTTGAGTTTTACTGTTTGGTGACTTATGTATTATACGTGCAAACAATCCTTTTTGTAATTTGATTCTGAAACAAACATTCTCCTTTTGATTGTGTTATGAGAACTTAGACACACACTAGGTTAAGCTCTGCTTTATATTAGCTGATTGAGCTAACAATGAATGATAATCACCAGTTCCAAACAATATGCTACTTGTCTAAAGCTTCGACAGCCCAAGCCAATCTAAGCCAAGACAAACAATAAAATATTGACTTTTGAGTTGTTTCACAAAATCACCAGATATGAAGCATTAGTTTGAAGCAAATAGCAAAAATATTTTAGCCATATTTTCATTGAATTAATCAGATTTTGACATGGAGCTCACTATGGAGTTATAGTCAGTTGACAATGAAAGCAAATATGTTTCTCTTTTCTTAGTTCAGAAAGCACTTGGAAGGAAAAACAGATTTACTGAGAATTTTAAACCTTTTATTAAGTTTTAGGATACACAGTGTTTGCCTTCTTCCATTGCTTGTTAAGTTTATTTCAGAGCAACTCCTTTCTCATATTTACACTTGTATTAATTGTTAAAATAGTTAAAACACTTTAATGATCTGTCTCAGGTTAAGATGTGAGTTCTTCACCTATTAAATGATCTCTTTGCCAGATGTAAAAATTGGAACCATTCAAATAAAAATTAATTATTTATTAGCTGATTTGAAAGTACAGCGATTAGCTGTCTTTTATATTTCACTGGTTTGTCTCGATTAAAAGTATTATTTCGACTCCTTGTCCTGACCCTATTGGGGATTTATTTTATTACCCCCAATGCATAAACACATACCAATTAGAGGAAAAGGTAAACGTAGACTTTGTATTGATCTCATGTGTAATGGGAAAGTTAATTTCCATTTTCTGCTGCTTATATAAAAATTCAAATTTTTATATAAGTTATACTTATATAAAAGTTATACTTATATAAATTACATTGATAATTTTATTGAGTTATTTACGACATCATTAATTAGAGTCAAACAATAAAGTTAAGTCACTCTTTTTATTTTTTGTTATTGACATTGTGTATAAATCAATTTGACATTTTCCATTTGAAAGTCATAGGGTAGTCATGTTTATAATAAAGTAAATACACATCTGAACTCAAACAACTAAAAATCAACACTTTTTTTGGAAGTATTGGCAGTTAATTGATATTTTGGATAGAATAAAAAAATCCCATTTCACAACAACATGATCATGAATGATCAGAGAAACTCACATTTTTCACAAGTTTTGTTCAGACGTTGTTAGGAGTTATAAGCATTAGGACTTTTAACAGGGTTTTGGGTCTATGTGGAATATTGGGGAGGGTTTTGATAACCACCAGGATATTGGGGAGGGTTTTGAAACATATTCTGGTTTTGAGCAGGGTTTTGAAAACCAACAGGAGGTGGAGAAGCGTTTTGATTAACCATCATGACAGGATTAGCCTGCACGTTGACCACAGTAGTGTGCTGTTGTGGGGGCTGCTGCACCACAGTGACAGGAGCTCCATTCTTTAGCTCACGATGCATCTGACACCAGGAGCACCAGACACAGAAACAGGAAATTGCCATGTCTTTACAGAGGGAACCCTGAAAGCAAACACATTGAAAGTTTTCATGAAGTGATGTACTACTTCAAAATGAGTCCAGATGATTGTAAAATATGTCATACCTTTATATGATATTTGTTCCGAATGGAAGCCCTCAGAGAGATTGCCGCAGGGGGGACAATTAAAGGAATCCCACAGGCTACACATGCAGCAGGAGTCAGAATGTCACATAAAGGCAGACAGGAGTTCTCTTTAAACATTCCTGAAACGGTGCAGGCAAGGCAAGGCCAGCACCAGAAGCCATAGCAACCTGAAAAACACAGAGGCAGACAGATACAGAGCAGTGAAAAGGTCTTACGTAATTATAAGGTATATTGTTTTTAAATTTAAGAAATAAAAAGAAAAAGAATGATTCTTACAAGTGCTGCAATCTACAGCAGTCAAAGAGACCATCTTCCACTCTCTGAGGGCAGGTTCTGCCATCCTATCTTGAAGTTCAGCCACAAACTCAACTACGACCCTGTGTTCAGAAAATAAATGAGTTTTTGGCAAAACGACACACTGTAATATAATGAACTAAAAAGCATGTGCATTTTTGGAAACAGATGGATAGGTAGAAGTAAGCCAAGTCTATGTGTTTTGCACATATCACTAACAAGTCTAGACTTCCCTTACTGAATGTTTCCATCAATTATTTAGAAAAATTTCAAGTGCGCCAAGAACAAAGGCAATTAAAAAAAATAGACTTATTGAAAGTGAAATTTGTGTCCTTCATGAATTCATTCCTTTTGCCCTTATTTTAATTAATCACAGCTAAATTTAGAACAAGATGGCTCAACAGGTTTGCTGAACACTCACAACAGGAAGGAATCCAAAACTTACAGAGGACTGTTTACAAAATGAGCTGCTTCCTGATTTTTGCATACCTAAAAACCAATTTGTGACTAGTAAAACGTGACTAAACCTGAGGAGTAACAGTGGTGGAGAAAATACTCAGAAACTAAGTAAACGTTTATACACACAGACAAAAATACACTAAAAGTAAAAAGTACTACATTAACATTTTCACTTCAGTAAAAGTAAAAAAATATAATTCGCTGCTGCAGGCATTGTCCATCTAATTATGTTTTTTCACTAACTTCTTTTTAAAAACATAATGCTTTCTGAATATTTTTTAAGCTATGATGATTTGATGATAGTTTCTGACTTATTATTGACTTTAGACCTTCTGACAGACACAGTAACTTAAAAGAAAAGTAAATACTTGAACAATTTAAGTTATAAGTTATAAATCTAGAACAATTCAATGAGAGAAACTAAAGTATTTTGTCTTCACTTTCAAGTAAATGTAAATATGTTTATATATCTTCAGTTAGGAATGTATGCATAAAACTTTGACTAAACTGTACATAAGTAAAACTTTTTACCTGCTTTGTGAGAGATCTTCCTTGCACCTCCGTAGATGTCAGCAAGTGTGTGGATGACTGTAAGTTTTGTTTTACCTGGGTGCTCACAAAAAATGCTGCAAAACCTGTGATGCATCAATCATATCAGCTGTAAAAATACTGCTTCTTCCTCTTGAGCCTGACTGAATCTTCACAATCAGCATCTTAACTGATTTCACTTTGATGCTGCTGCTGTTCATCTGCATCAAATTGCTGTTGCATTTTGTTATCTTTGTGTCGATGAAGCTTGAGTTTTACTGTTTGGTGACTTATGTATTATACGTGCAAACAATCCTTTTTGTAATTTGATTCTGAAACAAACATTCTCCTTTTGATTGTGTTATGAAACTTAGACACACACTAGGTTAAGCTTTTTATATTAGCTGATTGAGCTAACAATGAATGATAATCACCAGTTCCAAACAATTTGCTACTTGTCTAAAGCTTCGATCTAAGCCAATCTAAGCCAAGACAAACAATAAAATATTGACTTTTGAGTTGTTTCACAAAATCACCAGATATGAAGCTCCAGTTTGAAGCAAATAGCAAAAATATTTTAGCCATATTTTAATGGAACTAATCAGATTTTGACATGTAGCTGACTATGAAGCCACAGTCAAAACTGCTTCAAGATTGTGGGTTGGATTGGTTTAAAAACCACCTTGAGGTAAAAACTTCAATGTTGTAGACTTTTAAAATACTGCTATAAGTATCACTTTGGATATAGAGTGTATATGGATAAGCCTTTATCCACTGTTTGTTATATTTGTTTCAGAGCAACACCTTTCATATTTTGCACATTTACAGGAACAAAGGCTCATTTCCTGCAAAAGCTTAACCTAGACTATCAATGTATTGTTCTGGGGAATGGAAATTTTTAGTTTCATTTACCATGAAGTCGTTTACTTAAATGAAACTTAAAACAGAAGGAACAGGTGTAAGCAGCACCGTAACATTTAGAAAAAACAAACAGTTTTTTCACAACATTCTTGCATCATACATTTAAACTTTTCAGCTTAAACAAGGAGGTGCTGCTAAATTGAGAACAAATAGGGTAGTGGTGCGATTTATTGGAATAAATGCCAGTAAATGGCATTTATTGGAATAAATCAGAATAAATGCCAGTAAATGGCATTTATTGCAATAAATGCCATATTTACTTACAAGGCAGAAAATGCTAACCTACCAAATAGGTGGTTGTGTACTGTGTTCATACAGAGTTATAACAATAGTGTAATTGAACTTGAATTATCTGCAGCAACTAAACTTCATGACTCATACAAGGTTTCATGATCATTATCCTGAGCAGCTGCACAAAACAGGGCACAGAAAACTGCCAAACCTGCATCTTCACATATCTGACATAATGAGGTCATTAGTACTGAATGTCTATCATTACTCTTTGTCTGCAGACTTTGTCAAGATAAAACGAGAGAACTAATAAAAGTGTGGTCGGTGTGTCAGAAGGCTGGGAGCTGTGCCTTGTTATTTGCTTCATATCCCTTGCATGATACTGTGATTACTTTCAGAATAAAAATTGTTTACATTTAATTTAAATTTCAAAAGTGACTTGACACAGAAAATGCACAAGTTTTAGACCATGTTGTGATTATATCTGTTGTGTTACGCCTTTCAAGTCTCCATTACTCTTTTTAATAAGTTTTGATACATAATCTACAGAATGTTTAAATTGTAGAGCTAAGAAATAATTTTCAGAGCAGTTTTTCTTTAAGGGAGAACATTTGTAGCTATGTAAATAAAACTTGGACAGTGATTTATGACAAGTTTTATATCAAAACCAAAATATTTTCTCACTTAAATGCGAGAGGTCTTAATGGTAAAACAGCAACACCTGGTGGGATATTTGGGTGTCAACTAGAAGAAACACAGAGAGAGGGAGAGTTGAATGGATCTCCTTGAAGCATTTTAAAGAAGTCATAATCTGTCAGAGAAACTTATTTTGAGATCTTGCTAAAACACAAAATTTCTCAGTTTAATGTGATATATCTTCTACTGAATCTTTTGTTATAATACAATACTGACTCCTGAATTGATTAGCTCTGGTGTATAATATAATTACCAAAAAACTGTGTTTATTTCTATTGATTGTGCACATTTTACCATAGTTTTTCCATTCATTCAACTTTTTATTAATAAATTTTGGTATAACCTGGAGGCAGGCTACCTCCAGAAGACTGCCAGTCCATCCCATGGAAAGCAAAGAGGCACATACAATAATCAGTCATGCTGCACTCACTCAGACTTACGACAGAGTAACCAGTTAAACTTGCACTGTTAGAATAAGAATCATGTTTTTGGACTGTGGGTGGACACATTGGAAAACATACAAACTTCATGTTTAAAGACCCAGAAAGATCAGACCTAAAACACTTTAACTACCAAGCAAAAATTTAGCTTCCATGATTGAGAAACTGTGAAGAAATAATCACAAACTGGTTTGTTCCTATTTACCGGCATCAACATGTTTTAGTTAAAGTCAAAACCTATATACACACAGTTTGAACAAATATGAATTTTATAATTCTTCCACCTCCTAAAAAAAGTAGTTTAACTAATGAACACCGGAAAGTAATGTGATATTCTTGAACTTTGCACATATGTAAAACTCTGACTGCATCTGTAAATGCTGGTTTTATTAAGTTTCACCAAATTTTCTGCCCTTTTGCAATATTTAATTTTCACTTTGGTATACCTAAAGGATAAAGTTGTGCCAAAAGGACCAAACTAAAGAAATTTATTGTGTGACTCTTGATAGGCTTGAATTAATAATCTATAAAAATATTTAAAAGCTGGGAGACCTTTATTTGCCCCCAGGATCTGTTTTTTGTTGGAGGAGCAGGAAGCTTGCCGAATTGAGAAGCAGAATGCCTGAAGCCACAGCTGCTCTGATAAAAGCACCTCAAAGACTAATGGACAAACAGATGCCCACCACTTTGGGGCCAAGAGCTAATGCCTAGCAGGAAGAAAGGGTCATTCGTTTACGACCTGAAGGATTACGAGAATTGTGTTTTTACAACTTCGGAGATGCAAAGACAGGATCCTGAGAACTACACCTCAGGACAAAGACTTGTGACAGCTGTGTTCACTGTTTGCCACTCCTTCTATGCAAATGATTTGTATCCTAGGTGATGCCTAAATGGAATAAATGTGCAATAACAGGAGAGCACATTCGAAGTAGTCTGGAGATGGAAATAAAGGGTTGTCTCTTGGCAATGGTTCTCCGTTCAATTCTGTTGCATTTAAAACTTCAACTGTCTCTCTGGTGTTCTTTTTAATGTTAAATGAAATGTTTGGATTTTAGACCCAACAACTGTCAAGTTTCCTTTTTTCTGGGAGATCACTCAGATAATGCTCTCAAAACAAATCTCACATGCGTGCATGGTTATGGGTGGATGAATGCATTAATGATTCTTTCATTTACCGTTTTTTTCCCAAGTTAAAAATGTATTTTAATACACATTATTATGCTACACCTCATATAAAGCAAGGAAGAGATTAGGAGACTTTGTCAAGACATCTGAATTTTTAGTTAACATGCTTCAGACTGAAATAAATGTTCTATTAACTAAAAATAATCAATTTAGAACATTTCTTTATCCAACTTTGAACAAGTGCATAATTTATTTGAAAACTACTAGCACTTCTTTTTCATACTAAATACTCTGTTTTTAATGTGACAACAAACTAGATCACCTGAGCCAAGCCAATATGTAAAGCTAACATGCAAATCTGCAGGCAAATAGGGATACTGTTGCTGGATGCATGTTTAAAAGTGCAACCTATATTATAATGTGGATACTGCTTTCACTCTGCCACAGGGTCTATGTTATACAAAAGGAGTTCAAGAGAGAATTTTAGTGGCTTTGGCTTAAACTGAATTGTGTTTAAAAAAAAAATTACTTTCCAGCAGATAAAATCAATGGTTGCTTTTTCTCACTGTTTTCCTAATTTATAATTATAAAATGCAATAAAAGGTTTAGTTTCTCAACTTACAACTTTCTGGCCCTTATAGGTATTTGACCTTGTGTAAGAATGTCAGATAAACTCATGAACTACTTGTTGTTAGTCCAGATGCACAAATAACTCAAGAACTGGACAATCAATCAAGTCAATCAAGTTTATTTGTATGGAACGTTTTAGAAATAAGGTAGTTGAAGGTGCTTTACATCATAAAAACACAAAACTAAAAAGTCAGAGAACACACGTCAGCAATTGAAGAGTTGCATTTTGTCAAGTGCCATCATTATGTATGAGGATGTTGATTGTTTCATATTATGATGTTTCAAAAGCAATTCTAAACAAGTGGGTTTTTGGTCTAGATTTGAAGAAACTCATTGTTTCAGCTATTTTGTACTTTTCTGAAAGTTTATTCCAGATTTGTGGTGCATAGAAGCCAAATGCTGCTTCTCCATGTTTGGTTCCAGTTCTGGAGATGCAGAGCAGACAATGAACAGAAGACCCGAGAGGTCTAGAAGTATTTTAAAGCCTATTCTCTACAGGGAGCCAGTTTAGGGACTCTAGATCTTACTGAACCTATATGTTCAGTCCTAGCAGGATACATAAAATTCAAATATCTCGCAATGTTGGTGATAATGTTAAATATTGTGATGATAAAAATTGAAAGGAAGCCTGGATATTCCTGCTTATTTGTTAAGAACAGGCTGAGCAGTAACTGCCATCATTGGGTAAGGCTGCATGTTGACAGGAGATTGCACCTGGATGTTGATGATGTTGGGGGACTTTTTGCGATATTTTAGCTCACGGTACAGCTGACACCAGACACACATTGGGCAGCAGCAGGACGCAGCCATGTCATTGCAAATGGAACCCTACAAAAAATCACAGTGAGTCAGTTTTATTGTTGTCGGGCATGTATGTCATTCACATATCATCTTACCAACCTTTATACCATATTTGTGTCTCATGGCGACTCTCAGAGACAGAGCTGCTGGAGAGATCATTTTATCAGCACACATATCACATAAGGGGAGGCAACGGTTCTCTCCAAATCTGCCTGAAACGGTGCAGGCAAGGCATGGCCCGCACCAGAAACCATAGCAACCTGAAACACATGTCAACACACAGAAATCATAGGATATTATAAGCATTAAGCCCTTCTGTTGATGCATAAGAAACAAAGATGGACTCTTACAAGTCTGTGCATCCTCGCAGCAGTCGCAGAGATCACTATCCCAGTCAGTCAGGGGTTGGTCTGCCATCAGATGATGTAACCTAGAGTTTAAATCCTCACTGTATTGAGGAGATTAAGCAGTTTAACGTTTTAATTTTTAACTGACATTTAATCAGAGATGGAAACACTGTATTAAAGGAAGAGTAGCACTACTTCAACATATTCTTTCTCAAGTAATAGTAAGAAGCATCCATCCATGAAAGTACTCAGGTAAGTGTAATAAAGTATTTGGTGAGGTACATTCTCAAGTATTGATGCTTGTTAATATTTCATGTTGCTCAAGGATGTAATATATCATGACTGAATTTATTTAGTATATATTTTTTTGCATATCCTTTTAAGAAGGATTATTGAATCAGTGACTGAGTCTTTGTATTGCACTTGATGTCATTCATTTGAATCACTTGCAAATGAGTGATTCTCTGAAACATGGTCAAAATTGACACAACGCTGGCTTCACTCCCTTGCGGAAATAGAGCAGTCCTCCGACAACCACACTGTTATAAAGGCAAACCAAAGGCAGACGTCAATGGTTACCCTAGACATTTTTTGAGTCACTTTTGCCTTATAAACCAATACGGAGGCAAAGATGACAGGTCAGAAAATTCTGTAATAGCCCTCTGTATGGGCTGGGTGACGGCTGTGGGGATGGCATTTTACCCACTGACAACTTGGACCATGATTATCTATTATTTTCCTCAAAATTTCTCTGACTGTAGCATGTTTTCTGTTAGATACTGTCAATAACAGCACTTGGAACGCTGATTGATCAGTTGCTGACAATTGCCCTGGAATGATTGGCAAAGTATATATATATATATATATATATATATATATATATATATATATATATATATATATGTAAATTTATGTATATATATATATATATATATATATATATATATATATATATATATATATATATATATATATATATAATATATATATATAGCTGACTGGATAGCTCAATACATAAGGCATCAGTATATCACCCGAGAAGGCAGGATTCGAATCCAGTCTGGGTCCTTAGGCAAGACCCTTCAAGCTACTGCCTACCTCATACCATGAGAGATACTAAGTTGTAACATGCCGGCTCAGACGTCGCCCGGCCAAACAAGGTCTGCGTCAGGTGTTGGGGAACCAGAGCACCTTGATGACAAATGGGCTACTGGAACAAGACGGAAATGGGCGAGAGATGAAAATGTGGATCTGTTGGAATGCTACTACTCAAGTAACCCTAGTCAGAGGGGTTACATGCAAAGTCTGGGGAAGGAATGGTTACTTCGACATCCCCAGTCAACACTAAGCGCTAAACAACTAGTAGCTCAGTGTTCCAACATCCGCAAACGGCAACTGCTATCACAACTTGAGATTGACGAGATACAACACAAATGCTACGGCAAAAGGGAGGAACCCGGATGTCAGAACTGTGGGGACTTAATTACAAGTCCCCACCCAGTGAGGGGATACACGGCCCCCAGACAGCTGCTGACCTGAGAAAGAGAATCATGACCCGAATGACAACCAGGCCTCCTCGGCGCCAATTACAACGGCTGAGTGAAGTACTCATCAGAAAGTCTCATTGAGAATGTGAATGCAGCATTGAGAACGATCCCTACCAACACCATAACAGAAACCAATGAGCTGATCTACAACTCAGCATCAGTGATCCTTGAGATACTTGGCTATAAGAGCAACCATGAGACCCAATACCCACCATGGAAAAGACGGTTAGAGGCTAAAATCAAGGTAACAAGGAGGGAAGTGAGCCAACTGTCAGAGCTCCACAAGGGTACAATGAAAAGACCAGTACCCAGAAAGTACAGCCAGATGCCCATACCTGAAGCACTCGAGACTGCCAAACAGAGGCTCCAAGCCTTGGCCAGCCGCCTAAAGAGACACAAGGGAGAATGAATCCAGAAGGATTAACCGGCTCTTCTCCACTCAACCAGCTAAGGTGTACTCTCAATGGCAGGGTAATAACAACAGAGCAGACCCACCAAGGCTGGAGACTGAACAATCCTGGAAAGGCATATGGGAAAGGGAGGCGTCCCACAACAGCAATGCACAGTGGCTGATCTCTCTACGAGAGGACCACAGCAACCTCCCTGAGCAAGCCCCGGTAACCATCACTGTGACAGATGTTCAAGAAAGACTCTCAGGCATGAAAAATTGGACAGCACCAGGGCCTGACATGATCCATGCCTACTGGCTAAAGAAACTCACTGCTCTCCATGAGCGACTGGCAGCCCAAATGAACCAGCTGCTACAAAGTGGGACTCACCCTGAATGGTTAACTGAAGGGCGGAAATCCTAATCCAGAAGGATCCATCAAAGGGTCCAGTCCCACCCAACTACCGACCAATAACCTGCCTCTCCACAACCTGGAAGCTCATGTCAGGCATCATAGCGGCCAAGATAAGCAAACACATGGATAAACACATGAGCATGGCACAGAAGGGTATCGGTGTAAATACCAGAGGAGCCAAACACCAACTCCTCGTAGACCGCACAGTTGCCCGAGACTGCAAAACCCGACACACCAACCTGTGCATGGCTTGGATTGATTACAAGAAAGCTTATGACTCAATGCCGCATACTTGGATCATTGAATGCCTAGAGATGTATAACATCAACAGGATTCTGAGAGCCTTCATTGCAAACTCGATGAAGCTGTGGAAAACCACCCTTGAAGCCAACTGCAAACCACTTGCACAAGTGTCCATCAAATGTGGCATATACCAAGGAGATGCTCTGTCCCCGCTACTGTTCTGCATAGGCCTGAACCCCTCAGCCAAATTATCAACAAGACTGGCTACGGATACCGACTCAAAAAAAATGGGGCCAACATCAGTCACCTCCTCTACATGGATGACATCAAGCTGTATGCCAAGAGTGAGCGAGACATCGACTCACTGATCCACACCACCAGGATCTACAGCACTGACATTGGGATGTCATTCGGACTAGAGAAGTGTGGTCGGCTGATCACAAGAGGGGGAAGGTGATCCGCACAGAAGGAGTCTCACTCCCACAAGGAACAATAGCAGACATAGAGGACAGTTACAAGTACCTAGGTATACCACAAGCAAATGGCAACCTCGATGAGGCCACAAGGAAAGGAGCCACAGCTAAATACCTCCAACGAATAAGGCAAGTCCTGAGAAGCCAGCTCAATGGCAAGAACAAAATCCGTGCGATAAACAGCTATGCCCTGCCAGTAATCAGATACCCTGCTGGAATAATTAGCTGGCCAAAGGAGGAGATAAAAGCCACAGATATTAAGACTAGAAAGCTACTAACCATGCATGGAGGGTTCCATCCCAAATCCAGCACCCTGAGACTGTACACGAGCCGCAAGGAAGGAGGCAGAGGACTAGTGAGTGTGAGAACCACTGTCCAGGACGAAACAACTAAGATCCATAAATACATCAGGGACAAAGCCTCAACAGACAATGTGCTCAGTGAATGTCTTAGACAACAGGGAACGGAGGTTGAGGTGCCAGAGATACCATCATGGGAGGACAAGCCCCTACATGGGATGTACCACCAGCAAATAACCCAAGTGGCTGATATCAGTAAATCCTACCAATGGCTGGAAAAAGCTGGACTCAAGGACAGCACAGTGGCCCTCATCCTGGCCACCCAGGAACAGGCCCTAAACACCAGAGCAATAGAGGCCCAGATCTACCACACCAGACAAGACCCAAGGTGTAGGTTGTGCAAGGAGGCCCCTGAGACAGTCCAGCACATAACAGCAGGGTGCAAGATACTGGCAGGGAAAGCGTACATGGAGCGACATAACCAAGTGGCAGGCATAGTGTACAGAAACATCTGTGCAGAATATGGACTGGAAACCCCGAGATCAAAGTGGGAAACACCCCCAAAGGTGGTGGAGAACGCCAGAGCTAAGATCCTGTGGGACTTCCAGATCCAGACAGACAAAATGGTAATGGCGACCCAACCAGACATTGTCGTAGTGGATAAACATCAGAGGAAAGCCGTTGTGGTTGATGTAGCAATACCAAGTGATTGCAACATCAGGAAAAAGGAGCACGAGAAACTGGAGAAATACCAGGGCCTCAGGGAAGAACTGGAGAGGGCCTGGAAGGTGAGGACCACAGTGGTGCCTGTGGTCATCGGGGCCCTCGGGGCAGTAACCCCCAAACTGGAGCAGTGGCTACAACAGATCCCAGGAACAACATCAGACATCTCAGTCCAGAAATGTGCAGTCCTTGGCACAGCCAAGATACTGCGCAGAACCCTCAAGCTCCCAGGCCTCTGGCAGAGGACCCGAGCTCAGAGGATAAGAACCACCCGCGGTGGGTGAGAAGGGAATTTTTATATATATATATATATATTATATATATATATATATATATGTATATATATATATATATATATGTAACAGCAGTTTGATCATATAGTACATTTGAATTTGTAAATATTTTCATTTTTGATTACATCATAGTTGTTCTAAACTTGCCATTATTCCTGTCTTTCGTTACTGATAACATTCAAGAATCTCTTCATCACCAATGAGGAAAGGTAAAACTGCTTAACAGTAATTATTTCTGATTATGGAAACAGCTTTCTCTCTTGTAATCCTGAAATCCAATTAATAAGAAAGCAGTTTTTATGTTTTAAAACTATATCAAACTTTCCAATAACCAAGCAAAAGTTTACCTGAAAAACCAACAGACTGTGGTCCAAATCTTCGTTATCCAAAATCTTGCTATCACTTGGTGGCGAGTTGACAGAGTACTGGTTGTATAGGTGTAGTATTCCCTGACCATACCAAACTCTAATGTTGCACAGTCCCTCAAGCACATGGTGGACATATGCTAATCTGTCCTCCATATGCCTGAGGAATTGTACAACATTTGCATACGCAATCCAGATACTGCAGTTCATTTGCCTTTTCACTTACAGGATTTGTAATCTTAACTTTCGCTTTAAAATCTCAAAACACAAATCAGATTCCTTTGCTATAGTTTTAGTTGACGTGTGACTGAAAGCAGTGTCTACTGTGGCTTATTGGGTGGTGCAATCTGAAAGTGGTGGGTTTGATTACATTTTCATTGTCACATGTGCCTGTGCCTACTGATCTGTGTATGGGTGTATAAAATATGTGTGTGAGATTGGGCAAATTTGGACTAGTAAAACACTACATAAATTCAGTCCATGCCACTAAAGGTTAAAGTGATTATCTAATTCTGCTGCTGCCTCTTGTCTGTGAAACAGAGCACTCTTTCACCCTGATCAAAGGCACCGTAGAGGAGTAGACATACTTATTGATCTTGGTGACTGTACAATGGGGTTCAACATGGTGAAAGAGAGAACAAGGTCATGGACTAGAGAGGCTGAAATTAGCTTTCTCTGCAGGGTGTCTGATGCTCAGTCATGGTAGGGGTTCAATGTGAGATGTTCCGGTCCATGCATGTCCCACTGGTTGGAGACCCAGACGAAACCCAATCATACTGCATGGACGATGTTTCTGAGCTATACCATGCTCACTTCTCCAAGTTTCCCCCAGAGAAGCTGGCCCAAGGGGAGGAAGATAATGGATGGATGGATAGAAACAAATAAATGTATTTGTTATTGATTTTGTATATTGTAATTAGAGAAAATGTGTTTAGCCTACATCAAGAAAAAAGTTAACTGATCTGGTCATTTTTTGTGAGGTGTATAAGGCTGCATTACAGAGTCAATTAGAAACAAATAATAAGGTCCAGTCACTTACATTGTTTTTGTTATTGAGTTATGTTTTTTTTATTTCAAATTGACGAGATAGTTGTACAATGTTTATAATAATGTTAATAATAACATGAACTCGCAGTCAAACTCAAAACTCTTCATTTTCATTGAGGTATTGAGGGTGAACTGACTTTTTTGGATAAAGTAAATAATCCTAATGTACACCGATATTAAGGGTGATCTGAGGAACTCAAATTTTGCTAGGAATTAAAACCAGCAGGAGGAGGATTTTGAAACCTTCCTGTATATTGAGGAGAGCTTTGAAACCAAGCAGGGCCTGGAGCAGGATTTTGAAAACCACCAGGATGTGGAGCAGAGTTTGGATTGACCATCATGCCAGGATGAGTCTGCATGTTGACCACAGTTAGACCAGGTTGTGTCTGGGGCTGCTGCATCACAACAACAACAGGAGTTTGCCCCTTTAGCTCGCGATGCATCTGACACCAAGAGCACCAGGCACAGAAACAGGAAGCGAATATGTCCCTGCAGAGGGAACCCTGAAAGCAAGCACATAAAAACTTTTCATAACTGTGCATTTTTACATCAAAATTAGTTTAGGTGAGTGTAAAATATGTCATACCGCTATTCCACGTTTGTTACGAATGGAAGCCCTCATAGACAATGCCGCAGGGGGGGGCAAACATAGGGACCCCACATGCTACACATAAAGAAGGAGTCAGAATGTCACATAAAGGCAAACAGTAGTTCTCTCCAAATCTTCCTGAAACAGTGCAGGCAAGGCAAGGGCAGCACCAGAAGCCATAGCAACCTGGGGAATAAACAAACATAGTGATGAAATAGTCTTAAGTGACTCGAGGGCTAATTTAAATAATTTCAACAAAAATAAAAGCGTCACTCTTACAAGTATTGACATCTTCAAAGCAGTCAAAGAGACCAGTTTTCCAATTTTTCAGGGATGTTCCTGCCATCCTGTCCTGAAGTCCGTCTACAAACTCCGAACTATAATCCTGTGACGAGAAAAACCTGAATCAGCCCAAAGGTTTTCTGCAAAGCAACACACTAACACAATATCTAAAAATGTACAATTTATTTTGGGACAAAGATGACTATGCAGCAGGAATCAAAGTTGATAGCATTTCTGTTGTTATGGAAATCCATTGTGTCTCCTGTGGTACATCATGCTACCTGTCCTATTTAAGCTGATTATTGTTTGAGGCAAAGACATTGTCAAATCTGCTCCACTGTTAATTTGTAATGTAATAATGACAGATTGATGTCTGAAATAAATTGCCACAATCTATTTATACGTTTTGTTAAACCCCTAATAAATATATCTCAATACATGTTTTTTATGCATCACTCACAGCGGAGCCCCCTGGAGGACATGGAGGATTATTTTTTTCTTTTGTGGTACCTCGCAAAAGTATTACGATACCTTGCAATACTTTTGCATTATTTTGCAAAGTTTTCATTTTCTTGCAATAATGTACTGATTAGTTCATGCGGCATACTAAATTTGCTAAATTAAATTTTCACCTACTAAACATTTTCACCAAGGGGAACTCCAAGTCCAACAAGAATAAATTCAACCTCAGAACATTAATTAAGAAAACGATGGACTTACTGCTGATGAGACTTCATGATTTATTAAACTGTGAGCAAAGAAGTCCATCAGGAATTTCGTTCCCTTTTCTTTTCTGTTTATTGTCAATTAGTATGGCTAATCTTATGCAACAAGATAGCTCAACAAGTTTGCTGAACATGCACTAATTAACAACTAGGGATTAAAGACTTAAAAGAGGAATCTTGAAACAGATGAGATGACTTTTTGATGTTTTCATCTCTAAGTAGGTATTTGTCAACTTTAGAAACAAATTACAATGCACACTCCTCACACAGATCCTGTTGCCTGTTTAAAATTTCACTGCAACGATCCAAAAGCAACCAGTTTCTACAATTGAAATTTAAGAAGCTCATTTTGTAACATGGTAAAACACATAGGTTGAAAGATCAACATTTAAAATCAGAAGAATCTGATATCTGTGTGTAAAGCAAGCTAATCAAACAAAGCAACAGAGAATAAAATTTAATGCTCAGCAACAGAATGAAGTGAAAATAACACACCAGAAACTGGAAACCATTGGTCTTCTCTCTTAAATAGTAAACATTGCTCAAAGAAGTCAAAGTGATTTTAAAATTAAATGGGCTCCAAGCTAATCAGTTTAAGAAATTTATACTTTAACATCTTCATTTTGTATCACTATAACTTATTTTTGTTTAATTAATAGCAACAGAAAGCAGAGATGATAATCAAAAGTCAGATACATGTTGGAGATTATTTTGAAATACACAGATATCTCTTTATATAAGCTAAAATTAAACTTAATGTCTAACCTTTCATATGTTCTACTACTATTTAATTGTTACTCTTGACCTTCTGACAGACGCAGAGCTACAATAAACTAAATCATTTAACAATTTGAAATACAAAGTTACAGTATAAATCCAAAATAATACATTAGGAATAACTATAATAAATTTATCTAGCAAGTATTTCACTGTTCCTGTCTAGTAAAGATATATTTTTTTACATCTATACATTTAGAAGAATGTGTACAAGAGTTTAGCCAGGCATGCATCCTGTAATATTTACCTGCTCTTGTGGAAAACGGTCCTTGCACCTCCATAGACATCAGTGAATGTGCAGTTCAGGAATAAGTTTCCTTTGTTTGGTGACTCACAAAACGTGCTGCAGAACCTGTGATCAACCCTTCAATCTAAGTCTGCATGCAATTAAATATTTCAAAGTCAAACAGTGAAAAAATATATATTTCAAGAGAAACTCAAGAAAAGATAGACTTTTATGACTTTTTATTGACAAAAGGCATAAAATGTTTATGCCTTCATAAACATTTTATGAAGATGTTTTCATCTTTGGAAAACATTAACCAAGAAGCTGAAAATACAGTCCCAGGAAGTCCCAGCTTTGGTTGACAGCAGATGGTTCAATTAGGTTTCTCTTTCTATGAAAAAGGCAGATTATCTATGAGTCTAAATTTAATTTATTTCCTTTTCCATCATTTTTTTTTCTGAGATATCCACTTGGATTGTATGAAATGCAGATGAATAATCCAAGAAGGGTGCTATTGCACATTTATTACATTTACCATTATGCGAATGGTAATGATATGAATCAAGAAGGGTGACAATAGCATGCTCTGTTCATTGCCTCTGCTTCTATGATCAAGTTTCAATGAAGCTAATCTTCTGTACTGTCGTCACTAACATAGAGGCGAGACTATAGGACATTGCGCAACCTCTCGCCAACTGCACTGGCTGCCATTTTACGAGAGCATGTTCCTCCTGTCTGCACGTCACCATACAATGGTTTAAAAAATTGAACATATGAACTGGTTTTCTATAATTTAGCTCATTTATATAATGTACAGTGTTTTTTGTCACCAACTTTGAGTGTAACATCTTTTGTGTGGTCAGAAGAGATAATAAACAGCAGAAAAGAGATTTGAGGTGAGGCAGGAAGTTTTCTTGCCTCATGGCAGGGGGCGCTCATGATCCCAGACATTGGTCTTGTGACTCCAGTTATGCAGAGTAAGAGACAGCGAGCTAGCCATACAGTAAATACGTCGAGTGCAGTGACAGATTTTTTTGTTTTCTCCTCTCTTCCGACATCAACATTTCTACACTTAAACAGTATTCTAAAGAGGATTTTCAATTGAAATAGAAATTTTTGTGAGCTACAGTTTGTATGTGTTTGAATTCCAGAAAAGAAACATAACCTGCAAACTGCTGTGTTAGATTATCTAAGAGCGGCGGTAGATAATCTACTCTATGAGTTTCATATCAACAGACTACTAAAATAGATAGGGCATTTGAGGGGTCAGGCAAGGGCCAGCTCAAAGATCATTATAGTACAATGTTGTAATTAAAGGAAATTTACAGTTTTTAATAATAAAAATGTTTTAAGTAATCTGCTAAATTTTAATGAGGTGCATAAAACTGCTTTCCTGAGTCAAGTAGAAACAATGAGATTCAGTACATTGATTTTGTTTATTGGACTTATGAATTTTATTTCAAATTGATCAAACAGTTATACAATGTTTAT